CTGTTGCAACAATGAGAAGTACAAGTTGTCATGTGGAAAACGAACTTTACAACTTGGGGGGGGAGGATTGGGTGGGGGGAGGGAGGACGGGAAGGGATGGGAAGAATAAACAAAGGAGGAGGCTACAATGCTTGATAAGAAATGTACTCATTATCTTGCCAATGTAATTGTAACCCCTCCGTACAGTATTTTCACAGTAAAAAGAAAAAGAAAAAGCTGGAAATGGTAGAGTGCTATCCTTGAGCAAAAGAAGCTCAGGGACAGTGCCTAGGCCCTGAGTTCAAGCCCCAGGACTAGCAAAAACAAAAAAAACCCACAACAGCAAAGTAGCTTGCCTGCTACTTGATGGTAGAAGGCTGCCTTTGGGGTGTGTGTGTGTGTGTGTGTGTGTGTGTGTGTGTGTGTGTGTGTGTGTGTGTGTGTGTGTGTTGAACTCAAGGCCTTGTGTTCATTTGGCTTTCCTGCTCAAGGCTAGAGCTCCACTACTTGAGCCACACCTCCACTTCCAGCTTTTTGCTGGTTAATTGGAGATAAGAGTCTCGAGGACTTTTCTGTCCAGGCTGGCTTCAAACTGCTATCCTCAAATCTCAGCCATTTGGGTAGCTAGGTTCACAGAGGTGAGCCACAAGGGCCACTTTCAGTCTCCCCACACCTGCTGTGCGTGCACTGGGAGGAGCTCTGAAGTGGTGGAGAATGCGTAGTACACAGAGGAAAGCAGTAACCCAGCCCAGATTTCTTTCACTTCTTTTTCTTCTTTTCCCTACCCTTCTACAAATATTCTCCTTCAATCTCTCCACTGCCCCCCACTTCTCCTTCCACCCTCCCTACTCCCTATCTCTCTTATTCTCACCGCCTTTTCCCCAGCACCCTCTAGTCAAACTCTCAGCCTGCAGAGCAGTAGCCAACCTGAAAGCTGAGGCCAAGGAATTGCCAACAGCCACTTAGAAATCCACCAAGTGACTACAGTACAATTTGTCCCCTCTCCAGTTGATAGTACTGGGTTGTCACCAACCTTTATTATCAGCAACACTAGAGTACAACACAGTGCACTTCTGTGATCCTTAATTCCTTCCCTGCAACTAGACAAAAGCAAAGGTTTGAACCCTTAATCCCCTGAGCCTCTGGCTGGCTTCCACTTCCTGTCCCAAGAACGCAAGATCTTGTGGCCCCCAGCCACCAGACTACAGAGAATCCATGACCTCATTGTTCAGCTGTGACTTTGTCCCTCCTTCAGGAGGAGGCGGGGAAGGGGGCTGTTCACAACCTGCTTACCATGAGCTTTACCTCCAGTCCAAGTTTCAAAGGACGCACAGGTAGAGCTGCTTCCAGACAGAGATTTGAGGTCACTTTTGATTTGAAATGGAACAAGGACTTCTTGGTTTTTGTTTTGTTTTTGTGTGTTTTTGTTCTGGTTCTGGGGCTTGAACTTAGAGCCTGGGCTCTTTGAGCTTTATTGCTTAAGATTAGCACTCTACTACTTGAGCCACAGCTCCACTTCCAGCTTTTGGGGTGGTTAATTGGGGATAAGAGTCTCACAGGCTTTCCTCCAGTGCTGGCTTTGAACTCCAGTCCTTAGATCTCCACCTTCTGATTAGCTAGGATTACAGGTACTAACCACTGGCACCTCTCGATGTCTTATTATACAAGTCAGCTCTTTTCTCTTAATTGGTATCTGTTTTAATCTACTTGTGCTGCTAGAACAACATAGCACTGATGGGGTAATTTATAAACAACAGAAACTTATTTCTCACTATTTTAAAGCTGGAAGTCCAAACTCAAGACTCAGGCAGTCAGTATAAAGGAATGGCAGAGAAGAACCCCATGCCCACCCCTCAAGCTTTTATATAAGATTCCTAACCCAACAACTGAGGGCTATGCCTTCATAATTTACTCCTAAAAGCCCTTGGCACTATGACATTTTCAATTCATTTTCAACATCACAAAGTTCAATGTAAGGTCTGACATATTCAACTCATAGCAGCATCTCTTCCCCTATGCACAGCTGGCCTTTCCTTCCCTGAAGCTTGTTCTGTGAAGCTTCTCTCTACTGGTCTCATTTTCCTCCAGTCTTTGCTGCCATCTCTTCCTCCCTCCCCCCCTTTCCCACTTACTCTTTCTTCTTCCCTCCTCTCTTCCTCTTTGTTTCCTGGTGGCACCGGGATTTGAACTCAGAGCCCTGTCCTTGCTAGGCAATGACATGTCATAGCCTCTTACTTTCTCCAGCCCATCTCATCCCCTCTCAAAAGTATAACGCTCATTGGTTGCCAATTTTTTATTTATTTATTTTTCTTTGTTGGTTGTGGGGCTTGAACTCTGGGCCTGAGTAATATCCCTCAGCTCTTCAGCTCAAGGAGAGCACACTACCACTTTGAGCCACAGTGCCACTTCCGGTTTTCTGGTGGTTTATTGCAGATAAAGAGTCTCACGGACTTTTCCTGCCCGGGCTGGCTTTAAACCATGATCCTCAGGTCTCAGCCTCCTGAGTAGCTAGGATTACAGGCATGGCACTGGCGCCCAGCTAATGCTTTTTTTAAAATTTTCTTTTTGTTGGTCATGGGGCCTGAACTCTGGGCCTGAGCACTGTCCCTCACCTCTTCAATTCAAGGCTACTTCCCTACCACTCCAACCATAACAGCACTTCTGGCTTTTCTTGCTTATGAAGTGCCGAGGAATTGAACCCAGGGCCTCATGCATGCAAGGCAAGCGCTCTACCACTGAGCCACCTTCCTAGCCTGGTTTCCATTTTTCTATCTCCAGACTTGGAGTAAAATTATTTTCACTTAAGTATCTTATATCCAATTACCTGTGGGACTTCCATATATGATATTCTTACAGATATTCTGTGGCAGAAAGTTCTATTTGTTCCCTGATATTAGATCTCCCCTTCCTAGTTTTAATAGAATAGGTGAACTCATGGGTTCTTGAAATAATGTATCCCAGCCTGCATGTCTCGAGTGAGGAGTGATGATGAAACTAAGTTTTGGACAATTCACTGTAAGCAAAGATAGTCTTTTTTATGGGACTTGAACTCAAGCCCTAGGCATTGTCCTTGAGCTTTTCTGCTCTACCATTTTCAGCCATGGCTCCACTTCCAGCAAAGACAGTCTTTAGAACTTCTAGATTTTTTTTTAACTTCTAGATATTCTTTTAGAAACTGTCTGCCCCAGAGGGAGGATATAGGTTCCCTCACCCCTGCTGTCTCCTGATAGATGAGAGACAGACATGAAGCTGGAGTTTTCACCAC